GATATTATTCCGAATTGCCATATTGGAATTAAAGTGATGGCTAAATAGATAAATTGTCCACTAAACTTTTGCCACTATAAATCCCTGCTTTACAATAAGGCCTTCAATTTTCAAAAAAAAATATTTTTGTAAACAACAACGTTTCCAAGTATAAAAAAAAATTTATTTTATTTTTCACATAAGAATAATAAGAAAAGTTTTTGACTTATGAGACGATCCAAACAAAGTTCATAAAATTATAATAACTAAAACTAGTAAGTTAAAAAAAAATATTCATAAAATTATAATAATTAAAACTACCTATTAAAAAGAAGAAGAAAAAAATATTAATGCTAGCGAAAATTACCAGCTATCAAAGTACCTTGTAATTGAAATAGAGGAGTAAAATTATATTTTGAAAGACTTTTTGAATGATAATGATTAGAATTTCCATTACACACAAATGAAAACCACGAAAGCGCTTTACTGGCCAACTTATTGAACGCTAACAGGCAATAATGAGACTATATCTCAGCAATTATTATCATTTTCCAATTTCTTGTGCTTTATATGAAATTTAATGTTTTGACTAGCTTGGAATGTTTACTAAAATGTTCTTTATTTTATTTATTTATTTATTTATTTATTGTAAGTACATAAATTGTGCTTTGTTTTATTTCAAATATTTGAATTTCAGAATGATATAAAGAATTAAATTTTAAGAACATATCAGTTTTTTTTTTAATTTTAAAATTTACGAATTATAAATCTTTAAAAAAAATCTGGAAAAAAAATGTTTCATAAAATTTGCGAATTTTGGATTTTTCTGGCAAAGAGACTGAATGTTATCAATTACTATTAATCATTACAACATATAAAAACCAAATAAAAAAAGAACAATTGTTCTTTTTTTATCTGTACATAATTTAAATTATGTAGAGTTGCTGTAAAGAGACAACTACAATAAAGAAACACCGCTGTTCACTAGAGGGCGTGAATATAGAGTAAAAACTAATTACTAGTCCAGTGATGTCAACGTTCACCGTGACGTCCGTTTGGTCGAGTGATTGATCTTTGGTTGGGTAAAAAGGCATAAGGTCCTCAAAAAGACACGCAGCGCCTAATTTGACATTTTCCGTTTTCTTGCGCAAGAGTCAAAAAAGGCTATACCGAGGACTTGGTCAATTTAAAACCGAAATTTAAATGAACTAGTCTTTAAAAAGTCAATAAAATTTCGAGTGAAGTTGCACCAATTTAAGTAAAGTAGGAGAATCGCAGTTAAAATAACGATGTTTCTTAATTTTTAAATTCGAACATTAGGTTAAGATGTACTTTATGGTTACTGGTGCATAACCATAAAGCACACCTTGACCAACAAATCATGACCATAAAGACGTGCTTTATACTTATGGTTTTCTGCAACTGGAGTAAGCAGTGGCTGGTATGTTTAATAAAGAGTGTCTAATATGGGTTAATTTTGTATGGCCAATGCGTAATCTGTTTATCAGTATTTCAATTTTTCTGGACCTATTTAAGACATTAAATAGATGTATACAATTTATTAACGACATCTGTATCCCATATAGTTCTCCAACTTATACGTAAAGTTTCTGTAACTGTCGTCATTACATCAGATCGAATAATAAGCCTATTAGAAAGAAAGATTTAACTGCGGAATCAGTGATTTCATTTCCTGGTACTCCGATAAGTGCAGAAAAGCAAAATTTTAAAACCTTTATCGTTGATTTTTTGCACAATTTTAAACATACGAATTATGATAGAATGTAGTTCGATGACGGGATTTCTTATGGCTTAAACAAACAACTTTTATACCCGGTATAGATAATCCAATTTCGACTATTCTGAATGGGAATGTAATTAATGACATTCCGAGGTAAAAACTGCCCCCACAGTATGAACCTTCTTTGAGAAAGTCCAATTGTGTGAAATAACTGCAGATTCTACTTGGTTATTTACTTTAGGGCCACCCATAAATGTAGGTTTAAAAGCTTTATAAAATGAACAATGATCAAAATACATCATTTCATAAATGACAACTGAAATAAGATCTTTTGTTGAACTTCTGAAGATGCCAAAGATGTGAAATGGTATAGTGAATCGGGGTAGGAATTGGGTAGATGATGATGAAACATAAAAATATTCAGTTTTTTGATTTGATAAAAACTATCAGAGCCCAAACTATCAGAGATCATAGGCACTCTTCTGATGCAGAACTTAGTCTCTAGCAGGTTGCTAAACATGCCCTACCAGTTGATTGAAAGAGCGAGAAAGACTTAACTCCTTTCTACTCATCTTGAGTGAAACCCGGGCCCAAACAGCTCACAGTTTGCTGACTCGGAGGATAAATTTTCTCTCTTGGGTGTTATTCGCGATCGCAACACTCGAATACGCCATCTGGGGAGAGACCGGTTTCATGCTTTTAGCCCTTCTCCCTTCCCTCTCCTCCTCTTTTCAGTTGTATAGGAATGTACTACGATATTTTCCCTTTTCTTAATATTTTTCCTTTTTATTTAATAAGAATATTTTTTAAAATTTCCATAATACTTTTCTTTAGAACTATGTTTAATGTAGTTTTCAGTTCCATATAGTTTTTCAAGTTAAAAGATTTCAATCTATATGAAAATCAAGAGTGAAACTAACGTACTTCCTTCCTCTATGACTTTCCACACGCTAATGGGGAAAGCATGTGAAGTGTTGCCATAGGAAAAGAGTTCTGCTCTACGCCACCTGCAGCCCATTTCGATCGCCAATACTCGTATAAAAGATCGAACAGGTAACTTTAGGATCCCCTTTTGCAGTTTACGAGACGCAGCACACGGTAAACATGCCGGTCAGAAATAGCCAACCTTGTTAGTTTTTAGTGATATATATATTTATTTTAACATTTCAAACAAAAATATATTCGCTAAAAATCATTAAAAATCCACCATAAAAACAATAAAATATAAACCCAAAGACTTTATGAATTACACCAACATAAATGTACTAAAAACATCAAAGATTGAGCGAAGTATCAAAAACTTGAAACGTATAAACTTAAAAACTAATCTACTCGAATTTACTAAGACGTCTCTTACCTGCTTATTCCACCAAGTTCCTTAAGAGTGTATACCATTTAATATTAGCTGCCTGCATGAGAAGGTTTAAGTATTGTTTCTCAGGGAGAGTTGTAGTCACTGAAGATTTTGAGAGTAAGTAAGAGGAGAGCTGCGAGAAACAAGACGCTCTATCTCTGAATCGCAGCTCCTTATAAAATTATCGGGATAGAAATTGCACCATCCAGCCGTCAAAAATTGGTTTATTCCAGAAGATCAGATATTTTAAAATTTTTACCTTTAATTAAAACAATTATTTAATTTTTCAATTCTTTGAAAGGTTCTAGAAATTGTTCATCGTAAAACTGTCCAGAAGACTTCCAAAAATCTCTCAGAAATTTGAAAAAATCAGCAGAAATTGGAAGAAAAGTAAGTTTTGTTAGAGTAGGTAATGAAGGCATATTGTAATGACTCATGTCCGGCTACTCTTATTCGTTTGCGGAAATGGCTTGAAATTCAAATGGAAAACAACAAAAAACGCTTTCTGAGAGGACACTGTGAACGTTCCCGAAACCACATCGTCAGTAATCGACCCGGAAAAAATTTCTGTAAACTAAAGCCTGAGCAACTCAATGTTACATTTGTACAAAAATAAGAAAAGAAAATCATTTTTTTAATGGTTTAGGTTCTGTTTGGGTTTGGTTCGTTAAAAATTTCTCCAGCCCGGTTCCTAATTCAAAAAAAAAAAAAAAAAAAAAAAAAAAAAAAAAAAAAAAAAAAAAAAAAAAAAAAAAAAAAAAAAAAAAAGGAGAGAGAGAGAAAAATGCGTCATACCGTTTCCAAGAAAACGAAAACTTGTTCTGTTTGTATTGTATTTTTGCTGAAATCACTTCGAAAAATGGTAACAAATAGTTTTTCCCTCTTGTTCTTCAATAATGAATGAGAAGCAACAATGGAGGTCACTCCTTATATTTTTAAAAAATATTAGACAATGGATTTCTTTTTAAATTTTTTAAATACAATTTATAGAAAGTAAGATTCTCAACGGTTCCCGAGTGCTTGCTTATTCCTAAAGACAGAAATACAAATGTTTATTAATCAGCTTAAGATTTTGACTTCATTTTTAATTTTTGATTTAAACATCTTGGGGTTTCAGTAAGTTGAGAATTTGGAGCTTCAGAATTCCTCAAGCAAAGCGATGACAAACTCGTCTGTAATAAGAGACCTTATTCGCTATTTCCACCCTTTCACTCTTCACTTTTTCCCTCTCCGCTGTTAAAAAAGATGGGATGACTATTTTAAATTAAAATTTTCTCCATCGGTTGGCAAAGATAGATTATACGTATATATATAGAAAGGATATATCGCCTTAATTAGGTAGCAGTTATATCGGAATGATTAGTTAACAGTTTCTATCTGGGAAAAGACCGTTTCCATGCTTTTGACCGGTTTCCCCTTCCCTCTCCTCCTCTTTTCAGTTGTATAGGAATGTATGTACTACGATATTTTTCTGTTTCTTAATATTTTTTGTAATTAATTGTTTAAGATATTTTTTAAAACTTCCGTGATGCTTTATTTCAGTACAATGTTTAATGCAGTTTAGTATAGTTTCCTTACTTAAAAGATTTAAATCTACTTGAAAATCAAGATATTAACCAACGGACGCCCTCCTTTTATATAACTCTCCACACGCTAATGGTGAAAACATTTAAAGTGTTGCCATAGGTAAAGAACTTACGTTACCTGTAGCTCATGCTTCCTCTGCCCTCCCCAGTTCTACGGTCCCTGACCTTAGTGATTAAAAGATAATATTCTGACAGCCCAAAAATATGCCATTTCAAGTTTTTCACTGGAGAACAGAGCCAGTTGTCTTTCCGATTGGCTGCCTTTCTCCTGGCTAATTCACTGTCCTTAACTTACTATCTTTAATCCATGAAAGCTAAAAGCGCAATTATGAAATAAATTACTCCAAACCAAATCGTCAAATTACTTCTACTACAACTTCTTGCTTGATGTGTGTGGACTGTATTTTGTAAAAATTTCTCCTATTTTCGTCATCTGCACCTTAGAAAATTGGAGAAATTGTTAAAATTATAAACAAGTATTTTTTGACTATAAGTTTTGTCATATGTGAGTAGATTTCGTTTTTTTTTTAATTCTTTCATAATATTAATGGATATGTGTATAATACACGTGTTAGTTTTTACTATCGTCAAGCCGGTATTCTTAAAAAATAATGTGATTGCCTTTTCATTTATGTCCTGCTAAAATTTTGTGTTCATATTCATTCATCTTATATATATACATATGTTTATCATTCTAAATTGTTAAGAAAAAGAAAAAAGATATGCTATTTATTATTAAATTTGTGCTGAGCCGAAATCATTTTTTTTTTTTTATCTTCTTCTTTAAGATTCTTATTTCAGACGCTTCTATTATTGATCTGCAACATCTTAGAAAAAATTGTTATTTAGTGTGCAGATTAAATTAAGTATAAAAAACTATTCAGTTTATTTTTTAAATAAACAATGAAGGCGACAAAAATGATGCTTCAAAAACTACAAAATTCTGTGCAAATTAAAATAAATAAGACGTTATAAAAAATAAAGGAATTGAATAATACCAAATCAAATAATGTTTTAAGAAGTTGAAATTTCCAAAAAGAAGATAAATGGTCTGTCATATTGAGCTAATGCTAGAGTCTATTCTTTTATCTATCAATATGCATATGCAACCAAGTATTTCCTATCAAGATATGTTAACAGTCATAGCTTTAATTTAGATTGATCAAACACCTGCACTTAGGAAAAGAGAGAATTTGATTCTCAGCATTATTTTCTCTTTCTTTTCCCAGGCTACTTAAATCTACTAGCAAGATATATATATAAATATATATATATATATGTTTTCCAGGATTGAGAATGCTAGATGTTTTCTAATATAGGATAGATAGTTAAAGGGGAGAGATTTATTTATGGCTTGTAATGTTATCTTTTAATGTTTAAGTTACTATACTATATACTATCAGGGGTCTGTCCAGCAGTGTTTTCATTACAGAAAAAAAAATGGTAGAGAATTTCTCACCCTTTCTCAAAAACAGGGTGAGATTTCAAAAAGTTAAGTGAGATTTCTAAAATTTAAAAAAACCAGAATAGACTTTTTAAGAAAATATTTCTTTAAATATAATAAATTTTTAACATCTTCTGATTTCTAAACCATTGAACACTGAATATTTTTGCTGCATTATCATATGGAAAATGTTCTGTATCTACTTTTTCATTAGCTATTCTCATTAGGTTTGCTCAAATGCTTACCAATCGATCTGTTACTATATTTTGTTTTAGTTCGGCTTGGGGGCTAAATAACCTTGCAATAGATGCTGAACTATTCGGAATCACTAATTAAATTTGTAGCATTGTGCAGACACTTTCCTATCCTCTACATCTGCCAGCATAGGTTCTTCACTTATTTCTGTTATGGAATAGTGAAGTTCGTTGAAGTTATTTCCATGTTCATACTCTTTGTCAGGTCTTCCAGATTAGTTTTCACAGACTTAAACTTTTACAAATTGCTCTAAATTGTCGATGAGGGAGTTTGGTAAACATTCATTAACAGCGAATTCTAATTCATTAACAGCAAAAACTAGAGATAACTTTAAACAACTTATTATAAAGAACTCACTTTTTTTCTCAACACTTGTCATAGCTGTTTTCATGTCTTATTCAAAATGGTGGAAGACTAAATTTTTTCCAGAATTCGAGAGATTTGTGCATTTTAAAACTGATAAATTCAGTGCGCGAACTTCTCGCGTTAATCATTCTTTAATGCGAGAAAAGAAAAAAATATGCGAGATTCTCGCGCTGTTGTGAAAACACTGGTCCAGGCTAAATTTACTACTGTTTAGCAGAACCTTCAAAGATACAACTTTAGGAAAAACAATTGTTTCACAAAATACTTTTTCTTAAAATTTTATTTTTGTATCCCGTAAGAAACGATCGATCCATATTTTTGTGTTGAATTTTTAATATAATTTTTAATTTTCACTAAATAAGGTACCTCTCAGAAAAACCTAGACAGACCCCTAATTATTATATTTGATTCTGTTTTGCATATTTGCTTTTTCAGCTTATTAATAAAATATTTATTTAGTTCAAAAGACACTATGGGTACCGAAGTGATTCCTGTTCCTGAAAATCAAGAAAAGCCGTCAGAATTGGAACAAAAAGTTATTCGACAAATAGAAGTAATTTGTTTTATAATCCTATGAAAAAATTTCTAAATTATGTTTGCATAGATTATGTTTCATAATTAACACTAAAATATAAAATTTATATTAATTTGTGTATTTATATCTTATATATTTACATTTATACACTGTAGCCTATTAAGTATTACCCAATATTACAACAGCCCTTTTGGTATAACTTAGGACATGAAATTACAGTTCTAGAGACAATGGCCGATTCAAAATTTTAATGTATAAAGATCTTTTTGTTCTTAAGAGAATCTTGAAATTTAAGAATCTAAGCATTTAAATCTACTATATAAATTAATAGAAATGGGATTTAAGAATCAATATTAAGACATTTTTGAATCTCGTATATAAAAAATTTTCATTGATCAATATTGAAACACTTGTAGTATATTTATTCTGTTTCTTTGAGGTATGATAATCTAAATATGTGTCGAGAAATCTAAAATTCAACAAGTAATTTACTAACTAGGCTTAAATATTTGAATGTCAGCGAAAGAAAATTTTGAAATTCAATTGATTTTTCTTGTGAAATGTTAGTATTCTTGGGTAGTTTATTATGAAGTTACGTCATGTGACTTATGAGAACTGATTTGTTATCGTGTTGTTTTGAGGGTGAATTCCCCCCCCCCCATCTCTAGCCAGTTTTTGGCACATTTTGATTGTAGACAATTCAATTTCACGGCGTCCCAGAACAGAATCTAGGTATCCAAACAAATGTATCGCGAGTACGAGAAATAGAAAGCAACTGTTTGAAAATATTTTAGCTCTTTGACCTGAGCATAAGAATTTACCGCCATTAGTATGCTTAGTATTTCAGAAGGGGGGAAGAGTGGAAAATTCAAAACTCACCCATTTTTCGCGAGGGGGGGGGGTCACTTGTCTCAGCCTTAGAGGAGGGATTTGCATTACATGGAGAGAAGCAGTCCTCCTTCTATTGTTGCAGAGAACGTTGTCACATGGTTTCTGGATGATTTTCTCTCCAGTAAACCCTATCCTCAGTCTTTTACTATGGATGTGGATTGCTGAGCTTTGTTTTGAACAATAAAATTCAATAAAAATGGTCGAATACTGCTATGCATATGAATGTTAAGAAAAATTCATTAAAAAAGGACCTTTTACATTTCACAAATAAGATTTTTTATTCTCTTTTAAACAATTTACAATTTGTCTGTTAGCATGTTAGGTTATGGTTTTCAACAAGCAGAATAGCTATTATTTAAAATAATAGATTATAATGTAGTTAACATTTGTAGGTATTTTCATTACAATTAAATTTTATATTGATATAAATATTCTGATATTTTTACGGCGTCATCATCTATTTTAATGATGTATGTTCGTCAGCTTTGGCACATTTTTTTTCGTCAATATTTTGCAAGCAAGTCGCTTCTTATTTTTGTTCTGTAACTTATTTTAATGCGTTAAAATAACTTTTTTTTAGTAATTTCAAACGAATTTAATTATATATTTTAGTTATGCGAACTTAAAGATATATAAAAGTACATTTCATGTAATAAATCATTTTTTCGATCAAAAATAAAATTATATTTCAATAATATTTATAAGCTGAAGAATACCTTTTTTTTTTCATTATTTAGAAAATTATTTTTTATATAGGAAAAATTGTTTGTATATTCATATTTATTTAAGAAATTTTATATTTTTACTTATTACTGTATATTTATTATTCAGGAAAATATTAACTAGATTATTATAGGTTCTATTATTAATGATAGGTCCTATTATTAACTAATTATTATAGGTTGTCAAAGGTTAGGCTATATATTAATATTATATGTATTTTATTTTTATTTCTGAAAATAAAAAGGGAATATTTCTCTTTTTGATTATGAATAAATTTTTTTTATATATAAAATATTAAGTCGAGAAGTATCAATGTTTCAAACTATGTTCTTATAAGGTAATTAGTAATACTTTTTTTAGATGAAGAGACAAATAACAAAACCAAAATTTGTTATTTTAGTTCAAATACTTTTATCATTTTATGTTAACGTATTAAAATTTTTATTGTATACATTGGTTAAAATATATTACTATTGCATGGCAAGCAAACTAGATGCCCTAATTGTAGAACAATAGGCAATATTAATATTTATTTTAAAAATAAAACAAAATATTTTGCTATTTTAGTTGTCCTGTTAAATTTTTTTGTTATTATACATAATCTCAATTTTAAAAAAAATTATGCATTGATTAAAATTAATGATAATCGCATAATTTATAACATCAGTTCACAATTTGGTTTCTATCTTCGATTCAAAGAATCATTATTTTTATTTCATTGTTTGGTAAAGTCATATTTAACTAATGTATGTTATTAGCTTTTTGTGATTTAAAGTAAATATTTAAGTGTAGCGCTCATATTATAATGTATTTTGATTTAAAAACTTATCTTTTACAATCATGAATAAAGTTGGAAAAGCATTCAAAATAAATGAAAAAAACAGTGAGAAAAATCTTCAGGTACTCAAATATTCCTGTACAATGTAACCGCCAGCTATCAATTTTTTGCCAAAAAGGTGACCCTCAATCTTTGAACAAGTTTTCGGAGCCCAAACAGTAGACTGGCTATTTCTACCCTAATACCTCCTCTAAGGTCTTAGCAGACGGGCAAGTCCCTTCCATGTTCCTATTATTAAATCAAAGGCATATTTTACCTGTCAGAGAAACTTTCAGAGAATTAAATATTCGAAATGAAGTGAATAATACGAAATTTAGGACATTTTTTTTTCCTAATCAGCTTGTCTTTCAAGTAAAATGTCTTAATATTCATTTTTGAGACAAATAATTTTTTATGTGTTGTCCAAAAGTGTCGATTCTTAAAGCAACAAATGGGTTGTTATAGTTTAGTATTATTTTTTATGAATAACTGAAGTCACTCCTTTTTTTAGCTCTGTACTTAAAATAGAATTCTAGTAATGACAGTCAAATACAGTCTAAGCGACTCTATTATAAATCACTGTACCAATTTCCCCCTCCCTAAAGCCGATGCCCCTTGAGTGGGAGACTTACCACTGATTTTGCCTGTTCAAATTTTTTCTCTGGGTATGGCATCCTCTTAAGTAGCCCCTTTATCACCTCAGGACATCAAGTCTTTAACGAGGTAATTATTTGTGTAAACGTTATTTGATGTCTAAAATGTGCTGTGAATAATATTTAACATTTTTTCTTCATCATTGTATTTTTAACATTTAATTCATCATAAAAATCATATTTATAATTTTTATTCATATTTATAAGTTATCATCTTGCATGAAGTCCATTTTAAGTACTTCAGTTGAATGTGGATTTCAATTTAAATGAATTTATATTAATCTGAATGAATTAAATTTATATAATAATTATAACGAATATCTGCACAGATTAGATTTTTCCTGATTGCATTGCTGTCCAATATAGCATATTTTGTGTTATTTTTCTAGTATTACTTTGGAAACTACAATTTAGGAAGAGATAAATTTTTAAAAGAAGAATTGAAGAAAGATGATGGATGTATCCTTTCATTGGTTTAATTTTATGTTTTAAAAATTATTTATACTTTTCTTTTGTTTTGAAACAAATTTTAATTTATTGCAGATTTTAACTTCCTGTTACCATTGTTTTCCTAACCCTTGTGCAATATTTACACAACTTGTTTTCTTTTTCGAAATTATATATATATCCTGCTATCAATGCATAAGATTTAGTTTTTTTTTTTTTTTTAATATTTCTTTTTCTCAAGTTATTTAAAAAAAAATTTTCAAGTAGTATATTTATTGATTTTTAAATAGTCTTCTGTTCGAAGAAATTGTGAAGTAGAATTTTTGTGTGTGTAGTTTACATAATATAATGTAGTGTTCTGTTTTATTAGCATATTTTATTAAAAATATTTTAACAAAAAAGTAATTTTTTGTTGATATTTTTAATAAAATTTGCTATTATTTTTTACATGTTGTAAGCAAGGGTGCAGAAAATTATGAGAGCCGGATATTTCATTAGAGCAAGTTTTTTTGGTTTGACTTCCCTCGGTCCAAAATTATAGAATGTTTTTTCCAAATAACAAAAACATTTTAGAGTAAAGTTAGTATATTAGAATTTTATAATCTTTTTAATAAGGGAAAAAGAAGTCATTGGTGAAAGATCTAGCTAGTATATTTGTTAACATTACAGGAATATAAATAATAGGTAATAGTAGTAATTTATATAGTTATTTTGTGTTATGTTTAACTTTACCGAAAGTATTCTTTTATTTTTCTTCAGACTGTAAGTTGTTATGGCACAAGGAATCTAAAAATGTATTAAAATTCATTTTAAAAATGTATTTTTTAATATTTAAATGATGCCTTATTTATCCAAATGCTAAATTTTTTATTTTAGCAACAAGATTTAACATAGAATGTCAAATAGTTTTAATTTGTTCTAACTACATAGCTACCAATCTTTCTGCATTTTTACTTATTTTAGCTATTTTCTCCGCTTTTGTGCACAGAAGATAAGGTTTTCCATAAACACGATTCATATTTACGCGATCTAAAAGTTATGATTTTTATTTACGCTATTTAAAATTTCTGTATCGCAGCTTGTATTTTCTCATTTTCAAAATCGAATATTATATATATGACTTATTCTTTCGACGATTATTAGTATATCTAGGCATTACAACGGAGCGAAACTGGGAGAGAATATATTCAAAACTTGCATTCTGTGCTTGCTAAGAATGAAAAATAGGATTTGTCAAAAGATATTTGAAGATGGGCTATCTGTTTGTGTCAGTTTTGCTATTACCACAAGAATATATGAAACTTCTCCCAACTGGAGCAACCCTCATTCACAAGCAATTTGACCTTGTTAAAGGATTTTTTTTTTTTTTTTTTTTTTTNTTTTTTTTTTTTTTTGGTTACTTGTTTTGTGAAACATGAAGCATTTGCAGCAATCGGAAATTAAACAAAACAAAAAAAAAGATATAGCAAGTATAAAAGATATAGCAACAAAAGCAATAACATAAAAAGTGATTCAATTTTTTTTTGGAAAAAAAGTTCACTGATCACCAAAATCCAAATTTTAAAAAATAATGTTGCTGTTTTTTATGTTATAAAATGAAAAATAATTATCTAAACTGTTGTTAATTATCATGTAATTTTTCAAACTAAAATTGCAATTTTTGTATGTTAAAGAGTTACTATATATTTCTACTTCACAATTATTGATATGTTTTGCCGGGCTCTAGCTGGATTAGATTATAATATGAACATAGTGATTCCAATTGTAAAAGTTTATATCCTTCTCTAAATAATTTAATAGGTCATGTTACTGATATATTTGCTATAAATCACGTAACTGTTTTTATTAAATGTTAATGTATATTCTCAATAGTTTTAATTTGCTAAACCAGACAGTTTCTCAAGTAGTAATTGTCTGGTATGTTAACTGAAGAAGAATATAATTTCTAGCTTTATTTTTTCAATTGGTAATTTTACTTTTTACTAAATGTTAGTATCGATGTAATCATTTATATAAAAATAAATCGCTACACAATTGCATGTCAACACATTGTTGTTATCTTAAATTTTTTGGAAAATATTATTAAACTACTTTTATTTTCGAATTGTTGTATGCTATATTTTTGTAATTTGTTAGATGAACATGTTTTTATTATCTGTATGTATATTTAGTTTGTTAATTTCCTCAATAGTACTTAAAGGGGTTCCTTTAGAAACTATGGTCAGGTTTCAACGTCTGAAGGTAATTTTTTTTCTTTCTCTGTTTCTCACTTTCTTAAAAAAATAAACTTTTTAAATCCACTTTCTCTAATCTAGTACTGATCACAAGTTAAAATTCTTTTACTGTGAAAAAAATGATAAGTATTTAGCAATGCAGATAATCATTGAATTTGATGGAGAGTTTTACTTATCTAGTTTTTATTTTTTCTCTCTTTTAACACCATATCACCATGCATCTTTTTTGCTTTGGAATGCTCATTTAGCATTATTTATTGGTATTTATAAAGTTATTAATTACTCAAAGTTAAATTATCTCCTAAGAAATATTGATGTTTTATCATTCCCGAATGTTTTAGGTTCATGAAAACTAAATCTAGTTTATAATAACCAACATTTATTTGTAGTTTGTTTTTATGATATACATACACATATATATATATAATTATTCCCAACATACTCTTATAGTTTATACATAGTACAGGTATTTTTGAAAAATTAGTTTGAGCTCTTGTGCATTTACATTTGAAACAGCTGTAGCAATTATTTGAAATTACCTGTATCTATTTTGTGTTGGAGAATTTTATTAATATTTCCCTTTATCATTCACACTTATGTGCCCTTCAAATTATGTGAATGCAAAAATTAATTGATTGTTTTCCAAGTGTTTTGGTGGCAGTACTTATAAGAGAGTTAAAATAACTATTTCAGTATTTCTATAATCGCTCTTACATAGTTATATGGTTTTATTCATGAGATAACATACAAACATAATGTAGCATATTTTATTCTTATTGATACTTACACAATGTAAGTATAGAAATTATTTTTCAAAAAATTTTACATTTATGTTGGAATCAATATATTAAATATATTGATCCTAACAATTGAATGTAACTATATTTAGGTTTTACTAATTGTTCTACCGCTGAGAAGATGTTAAAATATTTCAAATAGTTATGTGTATTCTATTTTTATTTCTGAAAATAAAAAGGGAATAATTCTCTTTTTGATAATGAATAATTTTTTTAAATATAAAATGTTAATTAAGTCGAGAAGTATCAATGTTTCAAACTATGTTCTTCTAAGGTATTTAGTAATAATTTTTTTTTAAATAAAGAGACAAATGACAAAACCAAAATTTGTTATTTTAGTTCAAATACTTTTCTAATTTTGTGTTAACGTACTAAAATTTTAAATGTATACAATGGTACTGTGAGTTTTAGTTTGATTAGGGGTGATTATATTCTAGGGATACTCTGGAATTCAGTGTTGAATATTTGGAACTGTGCCGTTTGGTTCTATTTTTTATATTTGGAATCTGCTACCATTGCGATTCCTATTTGCACAGTTAGATAATCAAACATAGATTTTCTTATTTACCTAATTTAAAGGTTACACATAGAGATTTGTATGTATGTGGTTTAAAAATTTTATATTGCAATTCATACAGGGTTTAAGCTGAGTCTAAAAATTCATTAGCAAAAAAGCTAAAATCTGAAAAAAAGTTTTAGCAAAATGCTAAAATGCCATTAGGCTTATAAAATCACTTTATATCAAACAAGTACTGTAAGTTATCGGACAAAGAATAGCTTAATGTACAAGAATATCAAAAAGAATAACTAAAACAAAAAAAAACACTTATTATTTATCAAAACATTTTGGTTTATAATTAACAATCTTCCTTTCTTTCATGTTTGCCCATTTTACAAATGCTTCTTGAAAGTTAAATGCACTTTCAGGACCCTCAATATTAATCATTAACAAATTGTTTACATGGTTGATTAACAACCTGTTTCGAATATTAGTTTTAATCAAATTAAGGCAGCTAAAGCCCCTTTCACAGTCAACAGTGTGCATTGGTATTGTTGCACAATACTCTATAACAGAAGTTATTAATGGGTACTGTTCAGACGCATCATTGGTATATAAAAATAAAAGTAATTCATTAAATGACATGTTTTTACATCGTTGCATTAAGATGTGTTTAAATAATCCCCATTCACAAAGTAATTCAGTTTCTGTAAACTGAAAATCTCTTCTGGGAGATTCCGAAAACAGTTTGAAAATGCAACGGCCATTTTTGTTGATCGCTTGCTTCATCTCGTTTGATCACGTTTTTTTTCGTGAACGCTAGCGTCATGGTTCTTCTTGCGAAAGAGATTTTTCCTCCTTCTTGTTCGATCAAGTTTTTTTCATGGATGTTAGCGTCATGGTTTTTCGCGGAAGCTTTTTTTAAATGGAATTTAGTAAAATCCTTTAGCGAAAATGCTTTGTTGAATTTTAGCATTTTTGAGGGGTCTTTTCGCATTTTGCGAAAAAAGCTACCGTAGCGGAAACCCTGAATTCATATTCACTAGCTTTAAAAGTCCAATGTTACAATTTTTATTTGCACATTTTTGCAATTTGCGTTCACACCTTTTTAAAATCCTGTAACATGATTTGTATTCATTCCATTTAAAATTTATTCATTCGTATTCTCGCGTTTTCAAAGTCATATTGCACATGGTATTCATAAGTTTGTAATATCAAACATCGATTTTCGTATTTTTACATGATTTATAGGCTTTGAATTACGATTTGTATAAAAGTGTTTTTGAAATCCTATATTGGACTTTATATTGACCCAAATTTAAAATCCAATCTCGTTATTCATATTCATGCAGTTTTAAAATCCAGTTTCGCAATTCCCATTCACCCGATTTTTAAAAATACAACATTTCTAAGCACTAAGATTTTTCTTAAATTAGTTATGATAAAAGTTTGGTATTCTTCATTGGTAGGTAATTATAGATCTTATTTCAAAAAATTATGTTAAATACGCAGGGCCGTCTTAGCAGCATGCAGGGCCCCGGGCAAAGAAATGTTTTGGGCCATTATAGCATGTCGCACTGCTTAAAATCGAACTAAAATCATTTGATTTAATAAATGTGTTTAAATTTGGTTTTAGTAGACCCAAAAAAACCTGAATTCACATAAAAATTTCATTGGAATATAAAGAAATAGATTTCGGTTGCCTTTTTAAGATTCCCAGGTGATAAAATATTCAAATTATTGTTGTTTGCCAAAATAATAAATCACTATTTGTAGAAAGAAAAACTAACTACACACTTTATACATTATAATATATTTATTTTAAAAATATATATAAAGTAATTTTGTTTAGTCTTAGTTTTCTTTTTAATACAATTTATAAAAAGTAAGATTCTCAAGGGCCCCTTGAGTGCCTGGGGCCCTCGGGCACTGCCCGGGAGTGCCCATGCGTAAAGACGGTACTGTAAATACGAAGCATATATTATGTATAAATTTATATCGATTCTTTGGGCTTAAAATTTTTCGCCTTTTCTCATAATCACTCCTGTTTGATGTATTTACGAATTTTTACAAAATTATTAATTTTCAAATTCAAAGGAAATTATTATGGGGAAAACATTAGGTAACCTTTTACTGCTTTTTTGATTTGAAAGATTCTTTGAAATCTTGTCATTGGAGGTCGCAATTATAACAGATGAACTTGCACAGCATATATACTATCATAGTATTTACTTTCATTTCTGATATTAGAGAGCTATTCTCTTTACAGAGAAATAAGATTATGAAACTTTAGCTTCTTTGTTCATGCAAATGAGCTATTAAAAGAATATTTTTTCTCTCCTTTTGTTTTTTTCCCCTTAAATATAATGCATTTTTAATTCTTATTTTTTCAGCAAATGAACGTTGACTTTGAAACCATATCTGCTGCATTGAAAAAATCTCCCAATCAATTGATGGAGGTAATTATTTTAGTATTTTGTAATTAGAAAAAATTAAAGGCTAGATATTGCTATTAAAGTCAATGTAAAAATTCATTTTTCTATCTCAGGTTAGTGATGACTGTACTAAAATTCGTCGAAGAGCTCCTGTTCCGGAAAATGTAGATAGAGGAGAAATGGATGACAGATCATTATATGTGGTATGAAAGTTTTAATGAATGTAGAGTAACTTTTTAAAAAGTTCCCACCAAAGACTTATTGAGAATTTTTTCGATATTTATGTAATTCACTGACTGCATTAAATTTCATAATCTAGTATAAATATTTCTGCAGGCCTAAACCTTTTTATAAAAAAAAAAATGTTTTTTTTTTTTGGTCTTATTTTTTTGCCATTCAGTAAAATTCGACAAACTTTTTGGAGTAATTTAAAATCACAAAATCGTTGTTTTAAAATTTAAGAAAAAATTTAGAAAACATGTGCACAATACATCAAAATATATATATATTATTTTAAATACTTATATCTTGCTTATATTATCTAGAAAATTTTGGCAACCCTCACTATAATTTTATAATGGGAATAGGAAGTATGAGGGCATTTTGTGTGAATTTTTTAAGAAGCTCATATGAGTTTATGAAGGAAAGATTTTTTGATTTAAAGTGCTTAAAATAAAATGCTTTTTCATATTTTGTATATCTAGCTTCAAGATATCTTTTCATGTATATCTTTTCAGAAAGGATTCAAGAGAGAAACAACATTAGATCAAGTTCTTGATTTTTTTAAGGACTATAAAGTAGAGAATGTTATGATGCGAAAACGTAGACAGGGAGACAAATTCTTCTTTAAGGTAATATTTAAATTAATAATTGATGCAATTAATTGGCCTTAATAATGTTCCTATTTTTTTAAGCTCATTGCATTACTTTACTACATTTTTAATATGGTTAAATTACTTACATTAGCTTAATGTAAGTAATTCATCTCAAGTGCATATTTTTTTTAGTTTTTAGAGTCTTAGTATTTAGTCACTATTTGTCTATGTTTACTTTGAATCACAATGTGATATGACATTTTCATCAGCAAAAATACTCTACAGCTCTTTTTTTCTTTTTTGTTACTTGACTTCCTACACAGGGAAGGACAAAATAATTTAAAAATTCTTTTAATCATTTATAAAAGAATTACTGAACCAAGTAGCAATTTTATTCATAAAATTTATTAGGGGCCATTCACTAACTTAAATTTGTAATGTGAATTTATTAAAATTTTCTTAGTTTGCTTAATTCTTTACATATCTTTATAAATTCGGTATGATCAATAATATTGATCTTTGTTAATCGTTTGCTGAAAATGCTTTCATAAATAACTATTTAAATCTTATAAAAAATACACTGTTTGACCTTTTGAAATAATTGTTAAATAAATTGAAATTTTGAATTTTTTTTCCTTAAATAGTTGAAGTGAATATTAATTTACAAAATAAAGTTAACCACTCAATATTGAATGTAATTAATATTGTGTGTAAACAGGGGTCTGTCCGGGGTAAATTTACTATCTTTTAGCAGTACTTTCACATATTTAACTTTAAGAAAAAAAATACTTTAAAAAAACAAGTTCTAAGATTCTCCTCTCTCTGCCTCTTAAAACTTTTTTTTTTTTTAAATCCCCGCAAAAAAGGGACAAATCACGGATGAATTACGCATTTCAACTTGCAATGGAACACCCCTTCGGATTGTTATTATGATATAGAAGAATTTGCTTCCCACCCAGTTAGTAAAAACACTGGGTAATAGGAGCTTCAGCAACTCGATCCTTAATGGAGGTGGAAGAAAAGGTGCTAGTACCGTGCAAGCTCTGTTCTCAGTGCAATCTATTGAAATGACGGGCTTTTCTGCGAGCTGTCTTTTATGAATAGGTAGCATGTGTTTGGTCATATAGTGCGGTATGGTAAGCCTAACCAGTCACTTACGCCATATCTAAGCGAGCTTTATTTTAGCTCAGTTTTTTAGAATGAAACAGTAAGGCTCTCCCTCTGTAATTTTTACAGGAAGTCGAAATTCAATCATTATCGTAAATTTATTCTAACAGACCTTTATTTTTTTATGAAACATCTTTTTCCCCTCTGAAATTTTATTGTGTATGAGCTAGTTGAAAATGTTATAATGAAAATAGCTTTTAGTGCTAGTACTGTTAAATGCATGTTTTTGTTAAATTCAAGTTAAAATTTAACTATGAACAATGATTTTTATGACTTTTTAAATTTGGACAAAATTTTACAATACAATAGCAAAATTGTTTTTGAATATGTGAGGAAAATTTATAGGAATTTACCAATCATAAATGGTTTTTATGTTGATTTTTTAATATAATTTTTACAAATTGTATTTAGGATGCCTAATAGAATCAAGAAAATAGTTCTGTGTTGGAGTATATGTAAAGTCCGGAAATTATTTTGCACTTTGTTAATGTGTGCATGAATTACTTTCAACATTCGAAAGAAAAATATTTTTATTAGTGCGCATATCCTAATTATTATATTTTTTAAAAGTCCTTAAAAATTATTTTACAGTGCTTGACAGTTTTTTTTTTTTTTACTTATCTATAAACTCTGTGTGCTGCAAGTCCTGCTGCAATATTCAAACTCTTAATTTATGAAGTTTAAAATGGGTTTCTCTCAAACTCAATAAAAATTTAATTTAAAAGTAAAAATGAAAAAATCTGGGATTATTTTTTTTTTAATTTTCTGAAACCAATTTAATCTAGGCTAAAAATCAGTTGGTAATAATTTTTTTTTTCTAGAATGAAGTCATGATTTTTATTTTAGTTATTCATTGTTTTGGTTTACCTTGCTTCCCAGGTTATTTTGATATTGTTCATTGTAAATTAGAAAAAAAAAATAACCGTGTTGTTTCATGTCGATTTGAAGTATTAGTTTATTCATGGTTGATTTTTAACAATTGTAGGGTTCAGTCTTTGCCACTTTCGAGACTCAAGCTGACTGTGATTCATTTTTTGAGAAAAAAGGAATAAAGTTTGACAAAACAGAAATGTTAAAAGAACGAAAGTATGTATTTGAGCTAATTCTGTTTTTTCATTTTCCGGTGCTTATTTAATTATTACATTATTTATCATTTAATTATTACAGAAAAGATTATGTGAAGAGAAAAGATGAATTTTTTGAAAATTTAAGGGCGTAAGTTAAAAAGCTCTAATTTCTAACTTCCAGTTTGTTTTTATGTTTAAATAATATCTGCATTTTTTTTTTCAGGGAGAAGGCAAAGAAAAAAGAGGCCGGTGAAAAAGTAATTATTAACAGCATAATTTTCATCTCTTCTCCGATTAATTTTTTTTTAAATGTTAAGAACAAAGAAATTTTGCATAGATATTAGAGAGTGTTATTTCTTTTTTCAGTATATTTACAATTTTTAGTGCATCTATATTGTTTTGTTTTACTCGTATTTTATTTAACGTGTCAGTTGATTTTTTGACTAACTTTGATTTTATAAAACTTGCTTGTAATAAAGTTTCAAAAGACTGTTTTTAAAAAAGTAATTTCCATAGCTGCAAACTGTTCTCATGTTTTCTCCTGCATTAAGATTTCCGGATCTGGGGTAAAATCTTGCGCATTGTGGAAATCCGTGCAATGAATTTTTCACTGTCAGGGATACAATCTGCAAGACTTCATGGATTTCCAGGATAATCTGCACCAATTGAGTTTGAAGACCCTCGTGAATGCAAGATAGTCTTCTCCGTTAGAAAATCGAATTAACGATTACAGGTTTTAAAACGTGTGTTTAAAATGTCTGTGATAACTGTTAAATGCACTATTTCCGGGATTGGAGCAGTTGCTCAAGTTGTTTCAAAATGAAATTTCGGCCCCAAAATGCCATTTTTTCCTGAAATTACTACCAAACTCTCATATTATTGAGAACTTAGTTACATTTGATGTCAAATTTCTCCCATCAAAATTAGCTCATTTTAAAGTTAATGTTGCATACCTGGCAACTCTTCCTGATTTCTCGAAAGTTTTTACAAATTTTCCACCTTTTTTCAGATTTGTCCCGATTTATTTTTTTTATTTATTTATAATTTTTTTTAAAATTTTTTTTTTTTCTTTTTTGAAAAATAATAAAAACTCTCCAAATTCAGCTCTTACGAGCCTTTTACAGAGAGGTGTTCCAAAGTGTGCGCCTCAATCGAAACTGTACTGCCAACAGTTTATGTATAACTTTTGTATTATTTGTAGGATAAAGAAGATACACCCAAAGGTTGCTTACTGAAAATTATTGGAATAACTGATGAATCGATTAAACGTGACGATGTCAGAAAAGCTATGGAGGAGTATGGAAATGTTGCATTTGTTGATTTCTTTGCAGGAAATACTGACGTAAGCATTTGAAATAAATTTTTGTTTCATCTTCCTAATTTAAAACACTTTAAACATGCATAGTTGAAATACTTTGGTGGAATTGTGTAGAGTTCTACAAAATTATGGCATTCAAAGGGGAACCTAATTTTTATAGACATGAATTTTTTTTTGGGGGGGGGGNTTTTTTTGGGGGGGGGGGGATGTTAGCTCAGAAAGTTTTAGTATGTTTCTAATTTTGTGAAGGTATTGTCTGTGCTAATTAACTGTCTCTGCTAATTATCGTCTGTGCTAATTAAAACTGTGTATTTTAAGTTATGCTCTTATACTACAGTCGAACCCGCTATAGTGAACAGTCTGCGGACTCAGTAATGTGTCCACTATAACCGATGGTTCACTATATCCAAATTTTTTGAAGAATATTTTTTGCATAAGACAGTTGAATGATTGAAAATTGGCTTTGCAATTTTGTATAAGTTATTTAAAAAATTATTAACTAATTAATAGATAATAAAGCAAAAATTGATGGAAAAAGTAACTACGCCACTAAATATTAGTTTTATTTTCACTTTTTATGAAAAAAAATTTGTGATTTTTGATTGAACACAATTTGATTTTAAATTGAGTTCATCAATTTTCTTATCTACAGGGTTCCCGCGTCCTTGAAAAGTACTTGGAATTTCATTTTGATTTTCAAGAACCCCTAGAAGCACTTGAAAATGATAATAGATCCTTGAAAAATTCAAAATTACCTTGAAAAGTATCGAAAACTCAGGAAAACAGACCTATTTCTAGCATTTCTGTGATTAACTTTTGACGCGCGTAAGTGTGAGAGAATGACTCCTTTCAGATGATGACACATACTGTTTGATTTTAGGATTTTATGTATGTTTTGCAATATCAAACATCGATGTTGTAATATCAAACATCGATTTTCGTATTTATACGCGATTTGAAAACTACTTGTTGCGATTCGTATTCATGTGACCATGTCAAGTGCGTATGATTGATGCTACTGAAAAAAATTTTATTCAAGTGTGAGTGGTTAATTAAAAAAACAGTTAAAGTGACCAAAATTGTTAGTAAGAATCTGTCAGAAGATATTGAGTTGAAAGTTGGCTACTGTTTCAATTTAAAATGGTTGACCGATAATAAATTTAAAATTATAATTAAGCCGCAACATCCAATAATTAATTTTCTTTAATAGAAAAGTGGTCAAAATTTCAAATTACATTTAAGAACAATTTAAATTTCACTGTCTAAATGCTTCTGCCACTTTAATTATTAAATAAAAATCTCCCGGCAGAGTTGTTTTTAAGTATCTAATTAATATCACAGTATTATATAGAACATCCCCCTCCCCTGTCCTCTGCCCGAATCTTTGCTTATTCAGAGGTTGTATACCTAGCTTAAAATAGGCCATATGCAAAATTCAAATCCAACGTTTTTATGCATCATGAATTTTATTCTTGACTTGATGCCAATCACCCTTGCTTTTTTTATACTTAGATCACTTTCCGAAATCAAGAGAGAGAGCAATGGAAGTCTTATTTTTCAGTACTGCTATTATCGTCTGACATCTATCTTCAACTAACTATTATCGTCAAAACCTTTTAGTTTAAAATGTTAAATTTTAGTCTATCTTTTACTGAAATTTAAGTCCTCGAGAATTTTATAATAAGTCTTAAAAAGTACTTGAATTTTATTTTTAAAGTAGAACCCTGTATCTACAATGTGCAAAGAATGCAAGATTTTTACATTTTGAACAAGATTTCGAACCATCTTAACAAAGCATCTTCTACGTTTTCTCTTTCAGCTCCACGCAGTTTTTCCGATGAAACCATGTTTTTGTCATATGCCGCAAGAATTGCACTTCGATTTTTCTAAATGTTTGAAACTGTAGATTTTGACAAGGAAAATTCCTTACACAGTGTCGATTGATTGGTTCCATCATCAATACGCTTTACAATTTTAACTTTGTCCTCTATCGAAAACGCTTTTCTCTTTAGAGAATTTGCCATTTTCACTGCTTTTGAAATAAAAATCTTGTCTCAAATAGATAATGTAAGAATATGAAGAGAGCAGCTGTAGAATGAGTTAAATTGTTCCCCTTCTTGATTGTCAAGGGGTGATTTGTAAAGAATATGGTTTGAACAGATAAGAAAATTCCAAAAATTCAGCAGGTGGCCAAGTTAACTAGTTGTAGAGCAAGCTTGGGGAAAAGAGATAAAGCGAGGCTTGTCAGGGAGGGGGGAGTATAAGATAAATGATCTGTTTGACATTTATTACAGTATAGTTAAAAGTGATAAGCATAAAGGAGAGTAATATGACACATTTTATAGGAATGCATTCATTTTCAGTCCCAACACCTACAAGTTTAAAGATGGAGGACTGAAAAAGATATTTAAAGAAATGAAATTTGAGTCCACTATAACCGAGTTTCCAAGTTCTAAGCTGTTCACTATAAGCGTTAAAAATAACATTATTTAAATAGGAATACGGACGGGATTGCTAAAAAAAAGTTCACTACCTCCGAGTGTTCACTATATCCCAGGTTCACTATAGCGGGGTTCGACTGTATAAGGATTAAGTACTGTTGGGTGAAAATCTGGTCAGGAGTTTTATAAGGTGTTCACTTTCTTGTTCTGTACATCATTAACTAGAAATCATTAACTACTGAAAAATAATTAAATCAAAGTTTAACTTCATTCTCTCTCTTTCTTTTTTTTGTTTATTTTTTTTAACTTAGCAAAATTACTTTTTTTAAGTATGATATGGGAACTTTCTCTAACTGACAAAATTTTTATCTAAAACAGCAGCACTATAAGAAAGGTTTTGAGTTTCTCCATGCTTTATAGAAGAACTATTAAGTTTCATTTCAATACATAGGAGGATATTACCCCAATATGAAATAATGCTAAATAAAAGTTTGCAGCAATGATAAGTTTCAAATTTCCATAAATGCTTATAATTTAATTTTGAAATTTGAAATCAACAGAAAATTTATATTTTTATGTATTAATGTAAAATATATATATTTATTTATTAAAATTAACTGATTTAGAGGCTGTGCATCTCTAAAGAGTAGGGCACATCGACCAGAGGTTTATTGTACCTGAACCCTAAATCATGATTAATAAGAAGGCCTTATGGCTGAAATAAAATTCAGCAAACACCTTACAGGAACATCTTGCTGTTCCCAGGCCTTAATGCAGTGTTGCCTGAAATGCTCAAATCTTTGAGCAAAATAAACCTCACAATCACGAAGTATATGTTGTGATGTTCTCCTCTGTATATGGCTCCTCTATATGTTGTTCTCTTCAAGATGACAACCTCTGCAGAGAGGATAAGATTCAATGCCCATTACGTATAGGCAGAGTGCGATTTCTTCTTCTGATCTCTGTATGAACCCTGCTTATAGGTGTCTCCTAAGGATGTAGTGAGAAGATCAATTATCTTCCTCAAACTGTTCCTGTTTAGTTTATGAAGCTCTTTTTGACGTACACTGGGACAGTCACGATTCAGGACTCTTTTTAAATTAAATAAAAAAATCTTATATCTATCTTTGATGAATTAAATGCCTATTAATATTTGAAATTTTAAGTAAGCATAACATTTCAAGTAGTTATGTTTAATTTCAATCATAACTGGAAAATATATATTTTTTCCAATGCGCAACTGTGTTAACATCCGTCAATTCAGGCATTTACAGGGCGATTTTGTTGGCCTTTCTTTCAGGGGCACCATATTAGGTGGGCCAACTTCGCTCCCACAGTGAGGACAGATAGTACAGAGAATGAATGAACATCCATGCCTTGCCCGGGATTTGAACCCAGAACCTTTCTGATGCAAGGACAATTCCCTGCCCCCTACACAGGCCGGTCGACTAACTGGAAAATGTTGCAGTCTTTCTATTTTGATGACTAAAAATCCCTATCTGTAAAATATTTAATACATTACGCAACAATCATCATGAATTTTATATTTCGTAAAATCTGGAATTTTTCCTATCCATGTCTGCAGCTATGCTAGTAAGAAAATGGATCTTGAAGGGCTTGTGAAATCCATTCCTTAGTGACATATAATCAATAGAAATAATAAAAGAGAGAGTATCCGCCACTTGTGAAACAAGGTAACCCCATGACAAGTGTTTGGAATATTCTTTCCATACCAGTCTAAGCTTCAGGATAATCCCCAGATTTTACCAATAGCATTTCTGCAAGACCAGAAAATCTTCTTGGCCTTGTTGATACAGTATTCTAGATGATAACCCCAGTTAAGTTTCCTGAGAAACTTGACATTTTTAGTGAGTTCCAATCTATAGACTAGGTAATACACATTACCTAGATTAAGACTAGTGAACGCTACAAGACTTATCATGGCCGGGTTAACAGATAGGCCAAAGTCAGAGCACCATTCATGATTTCAGAGACTTGCTATGCTTGCTTCTGACTGCAATAACACCATCAGCATACCCAATACATGGAATGCCAAGATCAGTTAACCGAACTAACAAAGAGTCCATAACCATACACTATAGGACAGGGGACAAAACTCTTTCATTACAATGTTATTATCATGCTTGTTTAAATTTATTGGGTTTTTTTTCGGAGAAAATAGTAACTTTGGAAAATTTATCAGTCATGAAAAATTCTTACAGGGTTCCTACACGGTCAGGAAAACCTGCAAAAGTCAGGCTATTCTAAAATTAAGTTAAAAAGTCAGGATTATTCTTACATATTCATAAAGTCAGGAAATAGTCAGGATTTTTCTTACTTATTCATAAAGTTAGGAAAATAAAAAAAACTATAGTTCATTCAAAGACTGACAGGCAGAAATAAAGTTTCAAGGAAAAATTCTGTAATTCAAAATATGTAATTTCCTCATAATAACATTCCTCTTTCCCTGGTAGAACCTGTCCTGTTAGCAATTTTCCTCCTGTTTATCCAATGATAAGGAATTTTTGATAGGGTTGCTAGGTTTATTGCTCTTTGTGTGAATAACTGGTTTACAGACAATAGTAGCTGAAACAACAGCTGAAAAATCAAAAAAGGAATTTTTACTGTTTTGTGATGCTGCCAAAAAAAAAGAAGAGCAAAAGAGTTTCTTAGAGTTTAATCCACAGCAAAAGA